AAGCAGTGGTATCAACGCAGAGTACTCCTCCGGCTTCGGCACCCGGGCCGACCCGTTCGGCCGCGGTGCCGCCACCCACAAGGGCATGGACTTCCACGCCAGGGTCGGCGACCCCGTGATGGCCGTGGCCGAAGGCGTGGTCAGCTTTGCCGGCGTGAAGGGCGGCTACGGCAACGTGGTCGACGTCGATCACGGCAACGGTTATGTCACCCGCTACGCGCACAATTCGCGCCTGGTGGTGAAGGCCGGTGACCTGGTCCGTGCCGGCCAGGAAGTGGCCAAGGCCGGTTCCACCGGCCGTTCGACCGGTGCCCACGTGCACTTCGAAGTGTGGGGAGAACGGCAACGTGGTCAACCCGCGCAAGTTCCTCGGCGACGGCGGCAACACGCCGGTCGGCCGCATCAGCCGCGGCTGATCCCGGGTCGGATCCCTTCCGCGCCGCGGAAGGGCTCTGACCCGATGCGGTTGATCTGGTAGTGCCGGCCGCTGGCCGGCAATTCCTTGAGGGGCCCGAACGAGGTACCCGGCCCGCGGCCGGCACTACCCACGGGGTTGAAACCCCTTGCGGCCGTCCCAAGCTACAATGGGTGTTGCCATCGACAGGGCGCCAGGCGCCCTGTTTCGTTTGCGGCGGACGGATCCCAAGGGGGAGGCCGGGCGTCGTGTCCATCCAACCCGGTTCCTTCAATGATCAACAGCCTGCTTACCCGCGTATTTTGGCAGTCGTAACGAACGACAGCTGCGCCAGCTCAACCGCATCGTCGCCAAGATCAATGCGCTGGAGCCGGAGATCGAGAAGCTTTCCGACGAGCAGCTTCAGGCCAAGACGCCGGAGTTCAAGCAGCGCATCGCCGGCGGCGAAGCCCTGGACAAGGTGCTGCCGGAAGCGTTCGCGGTCTGCCGCGAAGCGGGCCGCCGCGTGCTGGGCATGCGCCACTACGACGTGCAGCTGATCGGCGGCATGGTGCTTCACCTGGGCAAGATCGCAGAAATGCGCACCGGTGAAGGCAAGACCCTGGTAGCGACCCTGCCGGTGTACCTCAACGCGCTGGAAGGCAAGGGCGTGCACGTGGTCACCGTGAATGACTACCTCGCCCGCCGCGATGCCGCGCAGATGGGCAAACTGTACAACTGGCTGGGCCTGAGCGTCGTGTGTACCCGGGCATGCCGCACAGCGACAAGCGCGAAGCCTATGCCTCGGACATCACCTACGCACCAACAACGATTCGGTTTCGACTACCTGCGCGACAACATGGCGCTGTCCAAGGCCGACCGCTACCAGCGCGGCCTGCACTACGCCATCGTCGACGAAGTCGACTCGATCCTGATCGACGAAGCACGTACCCCGCTGATCATCTCCGGCCCGGCCGATGATTCCCCGGAGCTGTACATCCGCGTCACCCGCGTCGTGCCGAACCTGGTCAAGCAGGAAGTGGAAGACGGCGAAGGCGACTTCTGGGTCGACGAGAAGGGCAAGCAGGTGCACCTGTCCGAAGCGGGCATGGAGCACGCCGAGCAGCTGCTGGTCGACGCCGGCATCCTCAATGCCGAGACCGAGGGCCTGTACGCCCCGCAGACCTGACCGTGGGTCCACCACCTCAACGCCGCGCTGCGCGCGCACGCGATCTACCAGCGTGACGTGGACTACATCGTGCGCGATGGCGAAGTGGTCATCGTCGACGAATTCACCGGGCGTACCCTGTCCGGCGCCGCTGGTCCGATGGCCTGCACAGGCGGTGGAAGCGAAGGAAGGCGTGCCGGTCCAGCCGAGAACCAGACGCTGGCCAGCATCACCTTCCAGAACCTGTTCCGCATGTACAAGAAGCTGTCCGGCATGACCGGTACGGCCGATACCGAAGCGTTCGAGTTCCAGAGCATCTATGGCCTGGAAGTGGTGGTGATCCGACCAACCGCCCGACCATCCGCAAGGACAGCCCGGACCAGGTGTTCCTCAACCGCAAGGGCAAGTTCAACGCGGTGCTGGCCGACATCGAAGAGTGCGCCAAGCGCGGCCAGCCGGTGCTGGTGGGCACCACCTCGATCGAAACCTCGGAAATGCTGTCCGAGCACCTGCGCAAGGCCGGGCGTGCAGCACGAAGTGCTCAATGCCAAGCAGCATGACCGCGAAGCGACCATCGTCGCCAACGCCGGTCGTCCGGCGGCGGTGACCATCGCCACCAACATGGCCGGCCGTGGTACCGACATCGTGCTGGGCGGTTCGCTGGAAGCGGAAATCCACGAGCTGGGCGAGGACGCGACCGACGCGCAGAAGGCCGCGGTCAAGGCCGAATGGCAGAAGCGCCACGAGGCGGTCAAGGCGGCCGGCGGCCTGCACATCGTCGGTACCGAGCGCCATGAGTCGCGCCGTATCGACACCAGTTGCGTGGCCGTTCGGGCCGGACAGGGTGACCCGGGTTCGTCCCGCTCTCTACCTGTCGCTGGAAGACAACCTGATGCGCATCTTCGCCTCCGACTGGGTGCAGAAGGCCATGCGCATGATGGGCATGAGGAAGACGACGTCATCGAGGACCGCCTGGTCAGCCGCCAGATCGAGAAGGCGCAGCGCAAGGTGGAGGCCCACAACTTCGACATCCGCAAGAACCTGCTGGACTTCGACGACGTCAACAACGACCAGCGCAGGTGATCTACGCGCAGCGCGACGAACTGCTGGACGCCGAGTCGGTGAAGGCCAACGTCGACCGGCATCCGCGACGACGTGATCTTCGACGTGGTGGCCCGCTTCGTGCCGCCGAATTCGATCGACGAGCAGTGGGACCTGCGTGGCCTGGAGGCGACCCTGGAGTCGGACTTCGGCCTGCAGATGTCGCTGACCGACCTGGTCAAGGACCACGAGGAACTGGACGCCGAGGCCATCGCCGCCAAGGTGCAGGAGCGCGTCAACCAGCACTTCGCCGAGGAAGGAAGCCGGCGTGGGCGAAGAGACCATTGCGCGCGCTGGAGAAGCACGTGATGCTGACCGTGCTGGACCAGAGCTGGAAGGAGCATCTGGCACGCATGGATTACCTGCGCCAGGGGCATCTACCTGCGTGGTTACGCGCAGAAGCAGCCGAAGCAGGAATACAAGAAGGAAGCCTTTCGAACTGTTCTCGGACATGGCTGGAGAACGTGAAGCGCGAAGTGGTGACCCTGCTGTCGCGCGTGCGCATCCGCAGCGACGAGGAGAGTGCAGGCGCTGGAAGCGGCAGAACGCCAGCAGGCCCAGGCACGCCTGAGCCAGTCGCAGTTCCAGCACCAGGACGCGGGCGGCTACAGCGCCGACGAGGAAGCGGCGCAGGTGGAGGCCGAACGCCAGGGCGTCGCGCAGCTGCAGCGCGACGAGCCGAAGATCGGCCGCAACGACCCGTGCCCCTTGCGGCAGTGGGCAAGAAGTACAAGCACTGCCACGGCCAGCTGAGCTGACCTCCGGAGAGCCCCGCGAAAGCGGGGCTTTTCATTTCCGGCGGGTGATCCAGGGTGGATCACGATTGCGCCGGTCCCCCTGTTCTGGGCATGCTCTGCGCATGGCTCCTCCCACCCGATCGATCCACGTCGTGGCCGCCGTCATCACCGACGCCCGTGGCCGCGTGCTGCTCAACCGCCGTACGAGAACCGCGACATGGCCGGCCTGTGGGAATTCCCCGGCGGCAAGCGCGAATCCGGCGAGACCTCCGAACAGGCGCTGGTACGCGAGCTGCGCGAGGAACTGGGCATCGAGGCCGATGTCGGTGAGTGGCTGATGGATGTTCCGCAGCGCTATCCGGACAAGCACCTGACCCTGGAAGTGCGCCATGTGCGCAGCTGGAAGGGCACGCCGCGCGGGCGCGAAGGCCAGGCGATCACCTGGGTGGCGCCGGACAAGCTGGGCCGCTATTCGATGCCGCCGGCCGACCTGCCGGTGGTGGCGGCCCTGCGCCAGCCCGACAGCTACCTGATCACCCCGGCGCCGGCCGACGATGCCGACAGCGTGCAGCAGTGGCATGACCAGCTGCAGCGCGCGGTGGCGGCGGGCCAGCAGCGCATCCAGCTGCGCCTGCCACCGGCGCACCCGCAGCGGCAGGCAATGGTCGAGCAAGTGGTGCGTGCACATCGTCGCAGCGGTGTGCAGTGGCTGCTCAACCGCGATATCGAGCTGGCGCGCGCGTTGAGCGTGGGCGTGCATCTGGGCAGCGAACAGCTGCAGCAGCTGTCGCAGAGCGCCGTTGCCCGAGGGGGCAGCTGGTGGCGGCGTCCTGCCACGACCTGCAGCAGTTGCAGGCGGCACAACAGCTGGGCTGCGACTTCGCGGTGCTGGGCCCGGTGCAGGCCACTGCCAGCCACCCCGACGCCGCACCGCTGGGTTGGGATGCTTTCGCCGAGCTGCGTGCGCAGGTGTCACTGCCGATCTACGCGCTGGGGGGCATGGGCAGCGGCCACATCACCGAAGCGCGCCGACATGGCGGGCAGGGCATCGCCGCCATCCGCGGGGCTGTGGCCGGCGTGATGCCAGGGTCGGATCCCTTTCCGCTGGAAAGGGATCCGGCCCCGACCGATCACAACGTGATCCAGAAACACCCGTACTGCCGCCGCAATCCCAGCACGGTGGAGGCACGCGCCACGCTGCCCGGCAACGTCTGCTCCAGGCGCAGGCCGACCGGATGCCGCGCGGCAGCCGGTTCGGGTTCGGAGCCTGGCACCGGATCACCCTGCTCCAGCGCCTGCGAAGCGTCCTGTTTCTGCCGCGGATACACCGGCACCACGTCCACCAGCGGCCGCCGCGCCAATGATTCCAGCTGGCCGAGGATGCGCTGCGCGCCTGCGTCGGAGACCGCGCCCCACAGGTACAGCGAGGACAGCCGGTTCACGTCGTTGCTGAGGATGCCGGTACGCAGCGCTTCCACCAGCTCGCTCAGCCGCCGTGGGCAGCGTGCCACCCAGGGTGTCGCGCTGCAGCGTGCTGCGGTGGGGCGCAGGCGGCGGCAGCCGAGACTGCGCGCCCAGGCTGTCGCAGGGGCGGTCGGTATACACGCTCCGGCCCTGTGCATCGGTACAGCGGTTCAGGCGCGTGGATTGCGCGTGGGCGACGCTGGTGGCAGACCACAGCGGCAGCAGCAACAGCAGGAAGGAGAGCCGGATCATCCGCGCAGCGTAGCGCCGTTCCGCTTCGCGCGGCGTGCTTTCACAGCTGCAGCAGTTTCAGCACCGACGTGGTCGGCTTGGCCAGGTTCAAGGTGTAGAAGTGCAGGCCGGGTGCGCCGCCCTCGATCAGCGCTGGCACAGCTTGGCCACCACTTCGGTGCCGAATGCACGCACCGAATCCACGTCATCGCCATAGGCCTGCATCCTGCGGCTGATCCAGCGTGGGATCTCCGCGCCGCACTGCTCGGAAAAGCGGCGCAGCTGGCTGAAGTTGGCGATCGGCATGATGCCGGGGGGTGATCGGTACCTGCACGCCGAGCCGCTGCACCGCGTCGACGAAATGGAAGTACGCATCCGGATTGTAGAAATACTGGGTGATCGCCGCATCGGCACCGGCATCGATCTTGGCCTTGAAGTGCTTCAGGTCGGCCAATGCATCGGAGGCCTGCGGATGCGTTTCCGGGTAGGCGCCGACCTCGATGCGGAAGGCGTCGCCGTGCTCGGCGCGGATGAAGGCGATCAGTTCGGCGGCATAGCGCATGTCGCCGGGGAAACCCATGCCGGAGGGCAGGTCGCCGCGCAACGCGACCAGGCGGTCGCAGCCGATGGCGCGGTACAGCTTGAGCAGTTCACGGATTTCCTGGCGGGTGCCGCCAACGCAGGACCAGGTGGGGGGCTGCTTCGAAGCCATGGTGCTGGTTGAGGTGGCGCACGGTTTCGGAGGTGTAGCTCAGGGTCGATCCACCGGCGCCGAAGGTGCATGACACGTATTCGGGCCCGTAGTCCTTCAGCTTGTCCGCGGCGCGGTCGAGCTGGCTGCGCTGTTCGTCGGTCTTGGGTGGATAGAACTCGAAGCTGATGGCGGTCATGGCGCGGGCGGCGGCGGCAGGTGCGGAAAAGTATATCGCTTCATCAAGATGGATGTGTACGTGCGATGTGATGGCACCGTCCCCCGCCGGCGACCGTTCGCCCGGGTGTCCGGCCGTTGCTCCGGATTCGCAACAGGGGCGCTGTGGCTGGCGGCACGCTGAGCCCAACCCGGCAACACCCACCCGATGAAGGAGCAGACGATGAAGATCTTCCTGGCACTCTGGTACGCGATGAAGGCGCTGGCACGGCTGGCGATGATCGGCATGGCGATGGCCGTGCTGGGTTCCGGATCGGCGCATGCGGCCCCAACCCGCGGCCCCGGCCCCCGGCAAGGTGCAGGTCGAGGTGGTCGGCAAGGGCCGCCCGCTGTTGATGATCCCCGGCCTGAACAGCAGCGCCGAGGTCTGGCGCGAGACCTGCCTGGCCTTGAAGGATGTGCAATGCCATCTGGTGCAGCTGCCGGGATTTGCCGGCGCCGCACCGGCCGATCCGCGCCCGGCCGGGTTCCTGCCGGCGATGCGCGCGCAGCTGCTGGCCTACCTGCATGACCAGCATCTGGGGCCGGTAGTGGTGGGTTGGCCACAGTCCTCGGCGGCCTGCTGGGCCTGCAGATGGCGCAGGCCGAGCCGAAGGCGGTCAGCGCGCTGGTGGTGGTGGACGCGCTGCCGTTCCTGCCGGCGGCACGCGACCCGAATGCCACCGCGGACAGCGTGCGGCCGATGGCCGAGCAGCTGCGCAAGGGCATGCTCGCCGCCGACGCCGCGCAATGGCAGGCGCAGCTGAAGGCCGGCCTGCCGGGCATGACCCGTGACCCGCAGCGGCAGGCCGAACTGGGCCGCTGGGGCGAAAGCAGTGACCGCCAGACCACGGCCGATGCGATGCACGCGGTGATGACCACCGACCTGCGTGACAGCATCGCCTCGATCAGCGCGCCGACACTGGTGCTGGGCAGCTGGGCCGGCTACCAGCCGATGGGAGGCACCGAAGCGAGCACCCGGGCGGTGTTCCAGGCCCAGTACGCGACGCTGCACGATGTGCAGATCGCGATGAGCGCGCAGGGTTTCCACTTCCTGATGTGGGATGATCCGAGCTGGCTGCGCGGGCAGGTGCAGGCCTTCCTCGACCGTCACCCCTGAGTTTCAACACGCCTCGGAATGGACATGCCGGACTCCTCTTCGTCGGTACGCTTCTGGCTGCTCAATGCGCTGGTGTGGGCACTCTACGCGGTCGCCGGCCTCGGGCTGCGGCATGCCTATCTGGCCGACGCCGGAAGCGCGGGCGTGCTGATCACGGTCGGCCTGGCGGTCAGCCTGTTCGGCTGCAGCGGTGGCATTCGTGCGCTGGCCCTGCGCGCCGGCTGGTGGTCGCGCGGTACGGCCGGGCTGTTGTTGCGGCTGGCAGTGTCGGTGGCGCTCGGCGCGGCGCTGGCGCAGGCACTGGTGAACATGGCCTTGCACACGGCACTGGCTCTGGGATGGGTGGATGCCGGCCGCCAGGTGGCCGACTTCAGCCCCAAGGCACTGCTGCTCTACTGGTACACCACGGCGGTGATGCTGGCGCTGTGGACCGCGCTCTGGGCAGGCCTGCACAGCCTGCGCCGGATACGGGGTGCGGAGCTGGCCCGGCTGCGCGCGGAAGCCGAACGCAGCGCGCTGGAGCGCGATGCACTGCGCGCGCGGCTCAATCCGCATTTCATGTTCAATGCGCTGAACAACCTGCGTGCGTTGATCCTGGAAGATCCCGAGCGCGCGCGCGACATGGTCACCCGCCTGTCGCGCACCCTGCGCCAGGCGCTGGCACACAACCGCAGCGAGCAGGTCACGCTGGCCGAGGAACTGGCGGTGGTCGATGACTACCTGGCCATCGAGGCGATCCACTTCGAACAGCGCCTGCAGGTGCGGCAGCAGATTGATGCCGATGCCACGCAGGCACAGTTGCCGGCGATGGCGCTGCAGCTGCTGGTGGAAAACGCGATCAAGCACGGCATCGCCAGCCGCCCCGGCGGTGGCGAAGTGCAGATCCGTGCCACGTTGGACAACGATGTGCTGCGCCTGCAGGTGGACAATCCATTGGGCAGCGCGATCGAACCCACTCACGGGCATGGTGTCGGCCTGGCCTATCTGCGTGCGCAGCTCGGTACGCAAGGTCGTTTCACCCTGCAGCCGGTCGGCGAGCGCATGCAGGCCCTGCTGGAGATTCCGCAATGAGTGGCGTGCTGCGTGTGTTGATCGTTGATGATGCACGGCTGGCGCGGCAGGAGCTGCGCACGCTGTTGTCGGCGTTGCCCTGGGTGCAGTGCGTGGGCGAGGCCGACGATGTGCCCGCTGCGCGCGAGGCGATTGCAACGCTGGCACCAGACCTGGTGCTGTTGGATGTGCAGATGCCCTCCGGCAGTGGCTTCGACGTGCTGGAGGGGCTGGAATCCGTGCCGGCGGTGGTGTTCGTCACGGCCTTCGACGGCTATGCGGTACGTGCCTTCCAGGCCAATGCGCTGGACTATCTGGTCAAGCCGGTGGAGGCGCCGCGGCTGTTGGAAGCGCTGCAGCGGGCGCGCCAGCGCGAGGTGGAGACGACTGAAGCGCCCGCGCTGCGTGGCACGCTGGGCGCGCATGACCAGGTGTTCGTGCGCGAGGGCGAGCGCTGCTGGTTCGTGGCGGTCTCCGAGATCCGGCGGCTGGTGGTGGACGGCAACTACACGCGGCTGTGGTTCCGCGACCAGAACGCGCTGCTGACCCGCAGCCTGAGCGCATTGGAAGCACGCCTGCCGCAGGAGCTGTTCTTCCGCGCCAACCGCAACACGCTGGTCAATCTGCGCCGTATCCGCGCGGTGACGCCGAGCATCGGCGATGGCTACGACCTGGCGCTGGACGACGGCAGCGAAGTGGAAGTATCTCGGCGGCAGGCACGCGAGCTGCGCGAGCGGATGGCGTTGTAGCCGCCGCTACAGTTCGGCACTGACCGGGCTGGTGGCGAAGCCCCACAGCAGGCGCGCCATCACCGCGGGCGATCGTGCCTGCGCACGGGCGTAGGCCAGCAGGGCATCCAGTCGCGGGCGGTCGTAGAGGTGGCCGGCCAGCAGCACGGCGTGCACACGGCGGGTGTTGGCGGTGTCGTGCAGCGGGTTGCCATCGAGCAGGACCAGGTCGGCGGCCTTGCCGACCTCGATGCTGCCGTGCGATGCCTGCAGCTCCAGATGACGCGCGGCCTGCAGCGTGGCGGAACGCAGTACGTCGGCCTGGCTCAGGCCCGCCCGTCGCAGCCACTGCAGTTCATCGTGGTAGCGGAAACCGCCCAGCCCGGTATCGGTGCCGACCAGCACGGTGACGCCCGCACGATGCGCGGCACCGGTCAGCGCCAGTCCATGCGCGAAGTAGGCTTTCAGCACGTCTTCGCCGCGCAGGCCTGGGTAGTGCTCCACCGTGGCCTGCAGATCGTCGCGCCACGCCCAGCGGGAGAGTGGATCCAGATAGGCCAGGCGCGGATCGTTGATGAAGGCCGGATCGCGTGCGCGCGCGTCTTCCTCGCGGGTGACGTGGGTCGGCACGAACGCTGCAGCGCTGGCCTGCATCAATCCGAACGCTTCGCTGCACAGGGCTGGCTGGTAGCCGCTGACCATCCGTTCGGCCAGCGCGGTCGGGTCTTCGCCATCGAGCGTGCCACCGCGCCACGCCGCCGCGTTGTCGAAGCAGTGGCGTACGAACAGATGGGCGTGCTCGAAGCTGCGCTGGCCGGCCTGCAATGCGCTTTCCAGTAGCACGGCCTTGGGCAGGTGGCCGACCAGCGGGCGACGCAGCTGCTGCGCCTCGGTGGCCAGCCGCTGGTAGGTATCGGCACGCAGCCGGTTGTAGACCTTCAACGCGTCGACACCACGCGCGCTGTACGTGCGGGCACGCTCAGCGGCGGCTTCCGGCGCGAGTAACGGATCTTCGAAGTAGAAGCTGGCGACCTGCACGAAACGCGGCGCAACCTGCTGCCCGGCGATGGCCTGTGTGGTCCAGTGGCGCTTGTCGGCCACGCAGGCGATCAGCGGATCGGTGGCCTGCGGGCAGTCCATCATGTCGCGGGTACCGGTGATGCCGTTGGCCAGCATCAGCGGGAACTGTAGTTGCGGCGACAACTGCAGTGCATGGGTGTGCATGTCCCAGAAGCCCGGCAGCAGCCAGCGGCCACCGGCGTCGAAGACCGGCAACGCTGCATCGGCAACGCTTTCGCCGATGGCGGTGATCGTGCCGTTGTGCAGCGTCACCGTGGTCGGTTCGCTGACCTGGCCGCGCACGACGTCTACCACACGGGCATTGACGATCAGGCGGCTGTTGCCAGGCTCGGGCAGCGGCGGTGCCGGCAGCGGCCAGAACAGGGCGGCGGCGAACAGCAACGGCGGCGCCAGCAGGAATGCGGCCAGCACCTTCAGCCAGCGACGACGGGGGGCGGGACGGGGCAATGCGCGTGCTGCTTCCATGAGCCTGCGATCCTTGCGGTGGGTCCTGCGCAGGGTGCGGCAAACCTGCATCGGATGCCAGTGAGCATCGGCATCCGCCCCTGCCGCCTGCAGGGCGGTTACCCTGTGCGGCAGAACTCCTGATCACATCGCGCCATGTCCATCGTCCTCACCGAATTTGCCCGTCCCCGCCTGTTCCCGCGTGTGCCGCGCGGCAACACCATCCAGGATTGCACCGCCGAGCAGTTCGAGGCGCACCTCAATGCGCACGCACCGCTGAAGGTGCTCGACGGTTATGCGCCGTTCTGCAAGCTGTTTGTCTACGAGAACTGGACCAGCACGCGTTGCCTGACGGTGCCGGTGACCGAGGCCAACCGCCACCAGCTGCGCAGCGGCTACGAAGCGCGCAACCGTGATGAGCTGCCGGTGCTGGTGCGTTGGTTCGAAGGCGTGGAGTCGCCGCGCGCGAACTATCTGGTAGTGATCCTGTACAGCGCCGAGCAGCTGGCCAAGGAAGGTTCGCCGATCGAGGCCGACTGGGGCATCGTCGGCTGCATCTACACCGCCGAGCCGGAAGAGGTGCCGATGGCGCCGATCACCATGATGCGCAATGCGCTGGGCGTGGAGGAGGGCGGTTCCGGCGTGCCGCTGGACCGGGAGGCCTACCAGCGCTCGGTGGCGTTCTGGGAGAGCAACGCCAACTGGCGGCCGTAGCCGTCGCGGGTCAGATCCTCGAACCGCGGGGCGCTGACCCGATCACCCGCTGCCATGCGCCAGGTATGATCGGGCCAGACGAACGCACGGAGGGCGGGGCATGGCTGTCTGGACAAGGATGATCCCGGTGTTGCTGGCAGGCATCTTGCCCGCCGCCACGGCGTTGGCGGCGAAGCCCTCTGCTGACACTGCGTGTGCGCCATTGGCCACGGTTTCCGGACTTCGCGATGCGAGCGTGACTGCATTGTCGATGCAGCCCCGGGACGGACGCTGCGTGGTCGAGGTGACGGCGAGCGACGGCAAGGGGCTGCTTCGGCAGCAGCAGATGCTGGAGGTACTGGCGCAGCATGCCTGCGCAGCGCCTGCGGAGGTGACGGCCGACAACCTGCGTCCATCACTGCTGCTGCGCACACCGAAGCGATGTGCTGCGCGCCGCAGCCAGGACCTGTTCGCCGGCGAAGGTGTTCCCTGGTTGCAGCCGCGCGGAAAGCTGCCGCGTTATCCGCGCGAAGCGATGGATCAGGGGCTTTCCGGGCGCAGCCTGCTCAAGGCTCTGGTCGATGCGAACGGCGCAGTGGCTGCGGTGATCGTGGAGACTTCCAGTGGCCATGCGGTACTGGACGAGGCGGCGGTGGAAGAGCTGCGTGGTTGGCATTTCTTGCGCGGCGATGCCCAAAGCACGGTGCCGGCGCTGACCATTGTGCGCGTGCCGATGCGGTATGAGCTTGTGGAGTGACCGCCATCCACGCATGGCGTGGATCTACTGGACCGCGGTAGAGCCACGCCATGCGTGGCTGCGTCCCTGTCAGATGGCTTTCCACTCCCACCAGGGGTAATGGTATTCGCGGTCGATCGCCTGCCAGTGCTGGCCGCACTGCATGCAGGCAACGGTGTGGCAGTCGCCCCATCCATCCTCGGCGTCCTGCACCGAGAGCAGCTGCATCTGCCCCTGTTCAAGCAGGCGACGGGGATCGAAGAACGGATAGCCGGGATTGAGCGCGCACAGGCAGCCCTGGCGTGCCTGCCAGTAGCGCAGCCGCTGCAGGGCCGCCTTCAGGTGCGCCTGGTTGCTGATCAGCATGCCGCCCAGTGCGATGCCCTGGCAGCATTTTTCAATCAGGTCCGTGTGCACCGCCAGCGCCTCCAGCGACGACGCGCTGAACAGCCGTGCGACCGTGCGTGCCGCGTCGGTGATGCGTGCACCGTCGCGTGACAGCAGGTCCTGCAGCAGTACATCGGCCTGTGGATCTTCAAGCCGGGGTGATGGTGCGGCGGACCACGGCCAGCGCATCAGCGTGCCTTGCCGATCGCCGCGTAGTGGCCGGCGGTCAGGCGCAGCAGGTCGCCGGGCGCCAGTTCCACTTCCAGGCCACGCCGCCCGGCGCTGACATGCAGCATGGGCAGCACTTCGGCGCTGGCATCCAGGAAGGTGCGCAGGCGCTTCTTCTGCCCGAGCGGGCTGATGCCACCGACCAGGTAGCCGGTCGCGCGCTGTGCGGAATCGGCGGCGGCCATCTCGCACTTCTTGCAGCCGGCCGCTTCGGCCAGCGCCTTCAGGTCCAGCTGGCCGGCCACGGGCACGATTGCTACCAGCAGTTCGTGGGTTTCAGTGCTGGCCAGCAGGGTCTTGAACACCTGGGCCGGGTCGAGGCCGAGCTTGTCGACGGCTTCGCCGCCATACGATTCGGCGTGAGCGTCGTGCACATAGCTGCGCACGGTGTGGGCGATCTTCTCGCGCTTGAGCAGGTTGATGGCCGGGGTCATGGAGGCATCGTAGCGCGGGGCGGAGGCGTTGCCTTGACCGAGGCTATTGCGGGTGGAGCATCCATGCATGGCGTGGCAGACTCGGGTCAACAGAACGCAGCACAGGGGAGTGGAGTGGCCTATCAGCGGATGATTGCGGCGGGTCTGCTTGCCGGAATGATGGTGGTCGCTGGTCCGGCCCTGGCCAGTGAGGACCGCTGTACACGCGGGCAGGCCGTGCGGGACTTGATCGATGCGGGCATGGTGTCGATGGCATCGCATCGAAAGGGCGACCAATGCCGTTTCACCGGGGTCGGGTCGGATATCCGCGCAACGTGGCGGCAGGCGCTGTTCCTCGCCGCGCTGGCGGGCAACTGTCGCGGCATTGCCATGGAAGTGGATCCGAAGCAGGACACCCGCATGGGCATCCGCATACCCGAGCGCTGCCTGGTCGATACCGACCCGCCGGATGCGCCGCCGGTGGGATGGTGGCCGCTGTCATCGCCTGCCCCAAGGTATCCGCAGGAGGCGTACAAGCAGGGTCTGAAAGGCACGACCGTGGTGCTGGTGGTGATCAACCGCGAAGGCCGGGTCACCGGCAGGATCATCGCCGAGTCCAGTGGCCATCCCACGCTGGATGCGGCAGCCGTCGACGCGGCATCGGCCTGGACGTTTACCAGCAAGCGAGGCGACCCGCCCGACATCAGCCTGGCCAGGATTCCGGTCAACTTCGACTTCTGAGGGGCAAACGCAGAACGGGCGCCCGAAGGCGCCCGTTCCGTGTGTTGCATGCACCGGGTGCGCCGGCCGTGGGCCGGCACACCACAGGCATCAGTAGCGGTAGTGGTCCGGCTTGAACGGGCCTTCCACCGGCACGCCGATGTAGTCGGCCTGTTCCTGGCTCAGGGTGGTCAGCTTCACGCCGATCTTTTCCAGGTGCAGGCGCGCCACTTCCTCGTCCAGCTTCTTCGGCAGCAGGTAGACCTTCTTCTCGTAGCTGTCCTTGTTCGCCCACAGGTCGATCTGTGCCAGGGTCTGGT